AATCGCTCTTCAACGGGCTTGATAAAAAATATCGACTATATCTTACAAGAAATATTTATAATTTACATACGCGCGCAGCGTGGATATTTACAACTGAAATTTTAAAATTGATATAATTTATATGATGAAATTTAAAATTAAAATAAACTCATTGTGAGAGAATATTTTTAATTAAATAGTGATGTTTGCCGTTTAAATATAAGGTTATCTCAAAAGATCGTGTTTTTTTCTTAAAACTTTGTTTTTATTTCTTGACGAATAATATTATTACGGCGAATACATAATAATACATAATACAATTAATTTATACATAATACAAAGACATTATACATAACGGCGAATAACACTATGGCGAATAATATTGGTATTTCAATTTTATGCAAGTTTTTACGAACTTTTGGGGCAACTTTGTATATAAATCACATGTACTATTTATTCATTGAAAAAGGAAGCTGTATGCAATCGTAAAAAAAAAAAATAACTTTTCAATTTCAGAGAAAGAGCATTAAATGCTTCTCTTTTTGTTGGGAAAAAATGATAGATTCGTATTGGAAGAGAAAGATCCTTTATTACCTAAAGATATAAAACAATAAAAGAAGCACAAGAGATCAAATTATATGTGCATCAGCAGATCACGCCTGCCTGCCTGCCTGCCCTATCCAATAACCGCTAGCCTACTAACAATCCAACAAGGCCGCGCTATATAGGCAGATATGTCAATTTGCATAGACAATACTAAAACTATGCAAATATATGCATATCAAATATCGTAGAAATATCTTCAATCGTCAATTTCAAAACTTTTTTTTAATTAACCACAACTGGTAGAATGAATATCGTATCACACATTGAATAGTTCAAATATATCTTTACTATCAGTTCAACAGGAAAAGTTGATAAGAATTGTTGAAAAAATGGAAAAAATAATGATGAGAATCGACCCTGAGAATCAAGACTGTCATAGCTGTTTCATGAAGAATTGGTTAGGTGGAATTTGAATATATTATAGACACATCAATCAAAATTTCCTCGAAGTTATGGCGACTTGTTGTCATCTTCCTCAGAAGAAGGATATCTTGAATTCTGGAACAGTTCGATTCCTTCCCTTGAGGAAAGGAAGTCGTCGAGACGTCGGTAAATAACTCAGGAATAGTTTATGAAGTTATGTATGCCTAAATTATTACCTATTCCAATCAATCAATATCTTTATTGAGACCTTTATAGTCTTATATACAGATTATCCTGAGACATACAGACAATGAGTGGGAAAGAAGGAAGGATAAAGAAATTCGAATTTACAAAGTTATTTGGTATAAATTTGTATGTAGAACGAAATTTGAAAATTATCCCGCATGTGTTTCTTTTGAACGAAAAATTGAAATTTATTTTAAGGAGAAATAACGATTGGGATGGGAATCCCTGGACACTTTTGTTTTGTGCTTGTCTTTAATATTTATAACTCATTTACAATTTATATATTTTATTCAAATAAGATAAAAATTACATAAGCATCACATTTAAATGTATCCTAACCAACCAATTCTCTATTCTAACTATCTAACATTAAGCGATCTATTTACAGTTTGTTTTGGTCACTGGTCCAATATTTTTATTTTCATAGACCAAATTATGAGATTAATTCACAGATGAAAAATATGCAAAACAAATGAACAACTATATACATCAACTTTATTTTTCCGTTTATCATTATTCTTCACAATTCATCCTTTCATATTTCATCCCTAAAGTTAGAAATAATCGTTATTTCTCCTTAAAATAAATTTCTATTTTTCGTTCAAAAGAAACACATGCGGTATAATTTTCAAATTTCGTTCTACAATCAGAAGCCGCATTATATTGTATTATAAATTTGTATATTAATGATAAAATTGTGAAACGTTTAAAAAATACAAAAATATTTTCTCACAGTAAGTTTCTCATTGAGTTTCTCAGAAACTCCTTGTGAGAAAATATTTTTGTAAATTTGTATATATAGAGCTATAATTATTTTGATATAATATTGTCACGTAGGAAATTTGGAAAGACAAACCTCAGAAGGTAATAAGACCAAATCCAAATAAATAAATAGTGCGTGACGTTTCGGTAACAACGCTGTTACCGAAACGTTATACACTATTTATTTATTTGGATTTGATCTTATTATCTTGTGTTTATAATATACTAGAAGAATGACCCGGCTTCGCCCGAGAAATCCCCCGAGTGAAGTATCCTTCATACTGAAAGTACATCAATAATAAATAGTAGAAGTGCCATAGAATAGCAATACAGAAGAAACACATAAACTACAGGAAAAAAGTGTGTAATGGCAAAAATTGTATTATATTAGTGTTTAGGTAATTGATTTAATTATTTTTTGCAATCCATTTAATTGTTTCAAAATTAATATAGTTTAAATAGACGGCAGCTTTTCCACCAAACCCCCATTAACCTTTGAAATTGCCTGAGTTGAGTGACTGACTGTAAAGAATCCTGACTGCGATGCCCATCTTCTCAGTAAGAATAAAAAAAAAATAGGTTTATAAAAAAAATTAATCCAAAATACTGGCATGTAAATATTTTTCTGTAAAAAAAAATAAAAGACCATGTGGAAATATTAGGCAAACATATGTGTTCGCTAATGATTGCGACTGCATTTTAAACGATTTTTAAAAAGAGATTTAAACAAATAAAGGCCAGAACAAAAAATAATTAAAAATATGAAATCCATTATTTACATACATTCACAAAAGCAAACGATGACAGAATTGATGACTCTGATACTTATATATAGAATAATAATATAAATGAGTTTTAAAAATTGTAAAAAAAAAAAAGAAAAATGCATCGGCCGGGAATCGAACCCGGGCCGCCTGCGTGGCAGGCAAGCATTCTACCACTGAACCACCGATGCTTATAAGAAATGGCCATATTTGGTTATTTATTCCATTCACAAACGCAAACGATGACAGAATTGATTGTTGATGACTCTGATACCAGAAATCCTGGTAAATATAATAAAATGAAGAATTGATAACCGAATCTTTTCAACCGAAAATATTAACGTCATAGTATTTGAAGAAGGAATGTTAATTCATTTTGATCCCAATCCTAGTAAAACTTACACATCTTCAATTAACCCAAAACTATCTATTAGTTATCAGAAAAGTATCCCGATCAAATTTACCCAATTAAAAAACATCATTGATCATAAAAAAAAATAGATTATAGGTATTCGTCAATAGGTCAAAATTCCTTCTCAACCTATCTGTCCGTTTTGTAGGCTGATACATCAATCTGCTAATCATTATGACCCTCAATACTCAACTCTCTTACTCAAATAGATTTTTTACTTCAAACAGATATCTGGAATCAATTTCCTCCTCATCCATTTCTTTAAAATTGATTTCATACTGTTATCTGACTTGAAGATAATTTTTTTGCTTCCCTGACATATATTCCTCAATATTTTTTATCTGTTTTTACTAAGAAATATAATAAGGTCATGAGACTACTTTATATACAATTTGATTCATTAAACTAAATTTGCATACCAACCCCTTTGTACATATTTCAATTGTGTTGATATTTTTCTCTTTTTATCTAACTAATTTGCATGCTAATTCTTGTATATATTCCAAATATATTTCTTTTCTTTCTATGTTTAAAGTGCAGATGTCCCTAGGGGGGGCATAGCGCTCTAAGTCGAATTAAAATAATAATTTAAAAAAAGAAATCTAATAAGGTCATGAGATCTTGAATACTCTTCAAATATATATAAGACATTAACACGCCATCTGTAGGTATGAATATTAACAACTTAGTGCTGAATAAACTGCCGGCTATAAGAACTGTATGAAAAAGTGAAAGTTATATAAGCTTATGATTTTGCTTTGTTTTAAAAATGAATCGATGTTGGTTCCATATGCTTGAATTGAATATTAAACTTTTGTTCTATATATTTTATTGCTTAAAAAGGAACATAACCAAACAAAGAAAAAAAAACTACAATTGCAAAATGATTTGATAACTAACTAAGAAAAAAAAACAATATCAAAAATGATTATGATAATAAATTCAATATTTTTTCCAGAAAAATGCTTCTATGAATTAAAAAATAAGAATAATTACAAACTTAATCCAACATCCAATTATTTGTTTAGGCAGATACGATAAGTTAACAATGATAAAACGGTGTTTACCTTACAACCCTGAACACGAGGATTTCCTGGGAAATCTCTTAAAGATTTCTTAAAAAATACATGGCCCACCTGTGCTGTGTGAGAGCTTAAATGGTCTTGCTCCATATGTAAATACCTGTTTTCTTTCCTCTTTTCGCTCTCCACTTCTCCCATCCATATTTCCAAAAATTTTTTTTTTTTTCTCTTTTTTTGATTTTTTTTATTCTTCTTATTTATTATTCTTTCTTATAATCTGTATATATTTACCAAATGTATATAATCTTTCTCCATTTTTTATTTCCCACTTTCATAGGTTTCTCCGTTTTGTAACCCCAAGGAGAATCCTCTGTAAGACCTGTGTGTCTTAATAAAGGCTTTTGTGTGTGTGTGTGTGTAATTACAAACTTAACATATAAACTTCAAACAAGAACAGAACAGCACAATACAATATTAGAGCGGTATGGTGGATTAAACTGGCAAAACCATTGAGAAGGTTCAACACTGATGAGCCAGGCCCTCCCAATATCATCGCACATTAAGGATAGAAGAGAAAGTTGTTTTATTTATTAATAAATTCCCCATATTGTTTGTATTCTTTTATATGTGAACAGTGATTGATGTCTACACTACATATTTACCATATCGTCGCAAAGTCATGTATTTATAAAGTCTAAAACGGCATTTGAAAATTATCCCGCATGTGTTTCTTTTGAATGAAAATTCGAAATTTATTTTTAAGGAGAAATAGCGATTATTTCTAACCTTAGGGATGAAGTATGAAAATTTGATTGTGAAGAGTAATGATGAACGGAAAAATGAAGTGTCCAAAGGATGGGAATCGAACCCACAGTGTTCAGCTTACCGGGCAGATGCCATGTCCACTAGGCTACCCTGGATATATTTTTCCGTTCGTAAATATTATAGAAAGTAATTTATAATACAATATAATGCGGCTTATAATTGTAAAACGACATTTGAAAATTATCCCGCATGTGTTTCTTTTAAACTTCATGGATGAATTATGAAAGGATGAATTGTTAAGAGTAATGATAAATACCTTCATCAAACATATTTATTTGAAAGTTTTCCTTAAAAGCCAACAAATAAACAAAAGTAGAGCGTGGTATGGTGATTGAACTGGAAAAACTCTTGGAAGATCTAACTACTAAAAAGCCAAGCCCTATCAAGATTTTATTAAAATTTCCATAGAAAAAAAAAAGAGCAAAGAGCAAATTTAAACGAAATATATCACGTTTAAGAAATGGGGAGCTATGTTTTAAATACGTCCTTACTATATCATAAAGCACATAATTTGGATTATAGGTTTGAACTACAAAAAAATAAGACCTAATGCAAATAAATTAATAGTGTGTGACGTTTCTGTTGCCATCATCAGACAAAAGAATAATTGACATTTATTATAAGTGTCACACACTATTAATTTATTTGAATTAGGTCTTATTTTCTTGTAGTCCTTACTATATATTCTGTATTTATGCTAATTTTTTTATACCTATATCCATTGATTGTTAATATTTACACCTATATATAATAATATTATTATATATAATTATACGTATATATATGGCCAATAATGGAACTACTTTCCCCATCCATTCAAAATTTTAATCCAAACAAATACAAAATACTCCTTGTTAATGGCCATATTTAAATCAATGTTCTACCTTATACTTCCCTATATGCATATTTACCTCCAAATACTCGCTATATAATATTATAGAGAATTAGCCTGGCGAAACTACAGGGAAAGACCATGATGAGCCAAGCAGTAGTTCCTCACAAGCCCAAATATTTAGACAGCAAAACATATTTAGACTCCGGCGCTAAGGAAGTGTTGTTATTTGATAAATACCCTCTCCCTTTTTCTCTATTGAAGCAGTCTCTTAACTCTCTGGAACGATAAACAAATGTTTAAAACTTTTTTCAATGATCCGCACAAAGTTTGATTTCCATCTTTATTATAATCAAATTAGACGCGATATCCCCACAAGGGATGCTTGCTTCAAGCAACAACACTAAATTTAGAGAACTATTTTACATAAACAATTGGTGAATTACAGGGTTTGAGTAGAAGTTTAAAGAAATAAAGAAAGGAAGATTTAAAATCATGCTTGAGATTCAACATCCTACCTAGGAAAAACCAATGAAATAAATACAAATACATTGTTTAACAATTACGCTTTTTTAACCAAGAGAGAAAATCAAAGATATATTTACAGAATTTTATAAATTTTAAATATAAGTCCTAACTGTTTATAAACATAAGGAGATCCTTGTATTCAATGTTTTCCCAATTTCTGTAGTTCTGGAAGATTGGACATAGATGTTTGCTTAATGAATCTTATACAACAACAGAAGAGAAGGAAATAATAAAAGTTTTTCACACCTTTCAATATATTTTGAAAAGATAGGTGAAAAACGAATGAAACAAAAAAAAATCAGCAATACAGAAACATTCATCCTTTCCCTACTGGTACAATAACATTCACATATTGTCCCAAATGGGCAGATGTGAAAATAATTCACCATGATATACTTGCAAAGTTTGAACTTTTTTTTTTTTTTGGAAAGAAGGTCTTCTTTACTAGATCCAATCAACATAAGAATTGATATTCCATAATAAAACATTACATATTTTCTATGTTGATTTAATAACACAGTACTATTTTTTTTATAATCAAAATATAAGCACTTCGAAGTTTAAAAAGTTTTTTTTTTTTAGCAAAGGAAAGTGCGAAGTACATTCATGACAAAACTTAAAGAAGTTTCATACTTTGAGTCGCCGGTCGTCTGTTTTTTTTTTTTTTTTTTTAAGGAGACAGAAGCAATTTTGTTCACTGTGTATCAAATATATTTCAAAGTTATTGTCTGTATCCCGATATACATGCTAAAAGGTACAGCTTCCTTAAGTTTTGTCCATGAGTGTATTTCAAATTATCATCTTTCGGCTGAATAAATATATTTTCTATCCAAAATAAGCTCTTTATTTATATTATAAGATAACGTTTTTTTTATAAACAGATTGATTATTTCAATATTTTATCGTGAATAATTTCATTACCTCTTTATTCTTTCATGTGAAAAAGGTAAACTTGTCTTGATGAAAATTAGCATTATGACGTTTGACTTTCCCATTTTCTATATATATTTTTGTTGAGTCGAATGTGTTTTATATTCTTTCCCATAACTTACAAGAATTTGTATATAAAATGGAGAGCAGGAGAATACCTATAACCTATGTACGTTTATAATATTATATCAAATTAGTTATAGCTCTATATATACATATTTCACATCTTGTTTAGTATATTATAATTTGTTTCTCCTTCTTTTTATATTCATTTGCTAAATTTCTTATTAGAAAATCTGCATATTGATTTATTACTGATATATATTTACTTTCGTGATTGCTACAAAGATACTGAGAATGTATCTGTCTCTAGCTCCATCTAAAATGGAACAAACAATTGAACGAATCAATGAAACTGAAACAACTTTCCTCTTTGAAAGGATTCTTTGTTTGGACCTGGAATGGGGGGTTATTGGTCTCGGATTAATGGTCCATTGTTAGGACTCTGTGCCCAGGGGAGTCCGGGTGACATAGTGCTACTACATTCATTGGCCTACTTGCTCCATCGTGTCCTTGCCGATTTATGGTGTTCCAATATGACTTTATTAGGTGCCACTCAAAAAAAGAGAAACCTAGATCATCATATTTACAATGGGGGATTTGGTAATGTACCACAACAACAATTTCTGTAGGACCTTGTAGGATGGTTGAGACACGCTCGGGAAAGATGCTAGACGCGTCTGAGGAGAGAATCAATACTGAGAAATCTGAAAACCTGCAGCATGGTACACAACAACAATAGCAAAAAAAATCTTTATTAATATCTTTTAGTCTTATACAGATTCTCCGAGCAGAAAACCTTACATACAGGAAAAATAGTAATAATAATCACAAGGTAATAGGACCAAAACCAAATAAATAAATTGTGTGTGGTGTTTCGGTAACAGCTGTTATCATCTTCAGACAATTCCAACGATTCAGTACTTTTGTCTGAAGATAATCACAACGCTGTTACAGAAACGTCGCAAACTATTTATTTATTTATTTAAATTTGGTCTTATTACCTTGTGTTTATGGTGTTTTCAATATTTATAAATCAGGTATAAATATTTTTGATCTCAACCAATCTATTTAGAAACAATTTATTCTGTTTTAGAAAGCTAGAATTCTAAACTACACCTTAAATTTAGAAAATTCTGTAAATATATTTATGATTTTCTCTCTTGGTTAAAAAAAACCGTAATTGCCAAACTAGGTATATTTATTTGTATTTATTTCAGTTGTTGGTGGTAAATTCAAGCATGATTTTAATGTCCTTTCCTTTCTTATCTACTTTAAACTGAACTCAAACCTTGTAATTATTCAATTGTTTTAGGTAATATAGTATCTAAATTTAGTGTTGTCTTGACGCAAGCATCCCTTGTGGGGATATCGCGTCTTATTTGATAATAAATAAAACCTACACAGATAAATATTCTAACTGAATTCCGTAGCTATTACTTTCTTCCTGGCCTAAAGAGACAATTAAAAAACTACAAAACCTTTAACCTGACCTATGATTACTTAACTCCTTTAGAGAAGAAAATCACAACTAATTTGGTGAAATCCCTTTATTTCTATTATATATATAAAAAAAAGGCATATCCTGACCAGGAGCACATGTGCTTTTCAGAAGGCAGAGCTCCATCTGGTGGAACAGAAATCAACTATTCATTGATTTAACCAGTTCCCTGATATTTGGCCAACCCATTTTTCATTTTTTTTAATTTTTAATATCAACACCTGACTTTTTTTTTCTATTGTTTGTTCATTTTATTGTATGGAATTCCCTTCGTACTCTTTTACACAAATTCAAAATTACCCATTAAAGAGAAAAGAAACACTTTACTCGTATTTGTGCTATTTAGATAAAGGCCTATGCCAAATATATATTTAATTTTATTCAAAATGAATTTTATATGTTTTGGCTTATATATATTATATATATAAACCTAAATTTGTAAAATGTTAATTGTTAATAATAATTGCAAAATAAATTCAAATTCAATTTTATCATTGTTAGGTTTTCAAATATTTGTGTGAAAAATATCTGTAAAGCATATAGAATTTATATTTCTTTAGTTATATTATTTCGATATATAATGTAGAGAGAAATATTATCTAAAAATTATTTTTCAAAATGCATAAAAGCTGTTAATTTTATTAAAATGGGAAGATAAAAATATCTTAAAGCATGCAAATCATAAAAATAAAAATGTAATAAAGTGGCGTTTTTTGGTCATACTGAGGTGGTAACAACTCAAAAGGTGAATGCCATTCTTCTGAGAGCCGTAAAATAAATCATTGGTATAAATTGACCGTGGACTCCTTCATCTCTACTTAAGATGAATGGTAGAAAAATTTGACAGACGTTTATTTTTGTTTTGAAGGGGATGAGAATTTAATAGAAATATAACAACTCAAATATGAATACTGAGATTTTTAAAAGGTTCTTTTTGGGCCTCTTGAATACCAGAGATATATTCATAGATTATTTCGAAAGTAATTTATTCAAATAATTAAAATATATATATCGTATTTACTTAATATTATTTCTGTAAAAAATAGACTTCGGCCAGTTAGAGTTTTATATTTTCTCAACGTTTCGACAAAAATATTTTGTCTTCATCAGGAGAAATAAATAATATAAAGCATTTGGCAAGGCGCTAAAAATGAACAATTTTTAACGCCTAAATTAAAACTTTAACTGGCCGAAGTCTATTTTTCACAGAACTATGAATGCCGGCCAGACAAACTCTATCTTCA